GGTTTTTGGGTTTTTTGTTTTGTTTTTTTAGATTCCACGTATCAGTGAGATCATACAGTATTTGTCTTCTGTCTAACTTATTTCACTTAGCATAATGCCCTCAAGGTCCATCCACGTTGTCACAAATGGCAAGATTTCTTTGTTTTTTATGGCTAAATAATATTCCTCTGTGTGGGTGTGGGTGTGGGTGTGTGTGTGTATACCACAACTTTATTCTTTCATCCATAGATGGACACTTAGGTGGTTTCCAAGTCTTGGCTATTATAAATAATGCTGCTCTGAATATGGGAGTGCAGATATCTTTTTGAGTTAGTGTTTTCATTTCCTTTGGATATATTCCCAGAAGTGGAATTGCTGGATCATATGGTAGTTCTATTTTTAGTTTTTTGAGGATCCTCCATACTGTTTTCCACGGTGGCTGTACCAATTTACAATCCCACCAACAGTGCACAAGGGTTCCCTTTTCACATTCTCGCCAGCATTTTATCTCTTGCCTTTTTGATGATGGCCATTCTAACAGGTGTGAGATGATAGCTCATTGTGGCTTTGATTTGCCTTTCCCTAACGACTAGTAACTTTTCATGTACCTGTTGGCCATTCGTATATCTTCTTTGGAATAATGTCTGTTCCTGTCTATTGTCTAATGTCTATTCCTGAATGTCTATTCAGGTCCTTTGCCCATTTTTTAATTGGATTATTTATTTTTTTGCTATTGAGTTGTATGAGTTCTTTATATATTTTGGATATTAACCTCTTAGCAGACATATGTTTTGCAAATAATTTTTCCCATTCCATAGATTATTTTTTCACTTTGTTGATTGTTTCTTTACTCTGTGGAAGCTTTTCAGTTTGATGTAGTCCCACTTATTTATTTTTGATATTCTTGCTTGTGCTTTAGGTGTCATATACAGGAATTGTCACCATTGAGCTTCCTCTGCATATCTGTCCATGAGTTTGCTTGTTCTCTGCAAGAGAGAGGGCTCTGGCAAGTGGAATTTCTGGAGCACAGGCACAAGGAATTAGGCTTGAATATGTTGAGAGCAGGAATTGTGTCTAGTTCATAGCTCTTGCCTCAGGACCAACAAAAGGTGTTTAATATTTAGTGATTGGATGAGAGTAAATTACAAATTCCATCTATGTAGGTGTTAAGGGGACCTAATCAGCTCCCTTTGCTTTAGTCGAGCAACCAGGTACATGGAGAACTCTGTCTAGCCTTGCAAAACACATCAGGGACTGCCATGGAACTCAGAGGGATAGTCAAGACACTGAGGCATTTGCCCTTGGTTATTAGGATTGCTCCCATCCTGCTGCTCTGTTAAGTCCCTGCAGCTTGGGTCTAAGAAATGACTGAAAAGTTTTCAGCGGCCTCAGCTTTCCCTTGACCTCACAGGTGGAGGTTCCACAGATGTTGTTTCCTTTGGAAGATCTCTTGCCAAGAACAGCATTTCTTGGGGGGAGGGGGGTTTAATTCAGTCCGTGGATGGAATGTTGCTTGTCATGGTTTTTTTGAATGTATTGCTAGCAGGACAATTGCTGGGGCTGGAAAAGCCCTTGAGGTTCACTCATCTCACGGGGAGAGTGCTGGTCTCCAGAGTTCGTGCTGCTCCCGTGACTGCAGTGTCTCAAAATTCTCATTACTGTGGGAAGCCAGAAATGTTGGGAGCATTCTTCAGATGGCATCAACCTGGCTTTCATTTTTTTCTTTAATTCCTAAATTTTGTTTCTATTCAAAATAGAAATGACATGTGTTTGCATGAGTCATCTATTTACTTATTTGCATATACAATATTGTATGTGAATATTTTATGTTTATTGCACCCTTAAAATACATTCAAAGACTATATCTAGAGCTCAGAGGAACCATCTCTTGCTGCTGAAATCAAATCTTGTCCAAAAAAATAAGATCGGGATAGATGGCTTGCTCTGGGGTACATGGTAGGGACTCAGTGAACGCCTTTGTGGTTGGTGGCTGATTTACGTTTGGGGACATGATAGCACAATGTTTGGGGCTTGTATGAAGTTTGAGTGAACTGAAATCAGCAGTACAGACTACAGAGCAGTCAGAAGAGTCCCCTTCAACAGTCTGTACCGGCACAACCAAGAGCTGTTTCTTGAGAAGTTTTGAAAGCCATCATCAGAAGACATGCCTAACCCACTAGAAGATGCTGCTCAGTTCATTTATTCCATCACTATTTACTGAGCGCCTACTATGTACCACCTCCTCCCAGGTCTGCCCTGCACTTAGAAGTTGAAGAGTTTTTTATAATCTAGCAGTTTCTGTCCCTCTGAGGCTGGTGGCGAGGTGAGTCTGCCAGAGAGCCTGGCAGCAAGTTTCAGAAGAGGCTAAGGCCTGTGTCTCTGCTTTCCTCAGATAAAACAGGCACAGCCTTGGGACTTCTAGGAAAAATCAGAAGGTCTCAAGCCTGAAAAATGAGAAGGTGGAAGATGGGCAGCCAAAGGTTTTTGGTCAGGAAACGGTAGGAAACCTGTTACAGTCTTCTTTTTTTTTTTTGCTGAGGAAGACTGGCCCTGGGCTAACATCCGTGCCCATGTTCCTCCACTTTATATGGGACGCCACCACAGCATGGCTTAACAAGCGGTGCGTCGGTGCGCGCCCAGGATCCGAACCGGCGAACCCCAGGCCACCGCAGCGGAGTGCGAGTACTTAACCGCTTGCACCACCAGGCCGGCCCCTTACAGTTGTTTTTAACCTCAGCTGGACATAGAATCATCTGAGTTTGTCAGAATAGATTCCTGGGTTCTGCCCCAGATTACTCTTAAGAATCTCTGCTGGGGATGTCTGGGCATCTGTGTATTTCACAATCTGGTGAGAATGATCATATCTGGAAATCACTGTATGTTGTGGGGAATGAGGGAACATTACTTCTTGTTCAAGATGAAGCAAAAATAAAATAAAAACAAGCAAGTTTGGAAATTCCGCTTTTGGAGAAAAGACCAGGAGACTCAACTGGAAGTAACTAAAGGCCCCTGTTGGCGCTGACCCATCCCACACCACCCCCAAATCCTGCAGCTCTGTCAGTACCCAGTCAGGTTTTGTTGTAATCCCAGAGGCAAACCCGTCTCAGTCCCCCACCTCTAACTCTGCCTTCTAGAGCCTGGTTTTCAAATTTTCAATCCACAGGCCCACCAAACAGAATTTACTCCCTTCTCTGACTGCAAACAAAATCTCAGGGAATCAGACTTGCTCTTGATTAGGACATTTGGGGAGAGTTTTCACAAGTTAATAATTTGGGGCCATGAATAAATGTGGTGGATAAGCTAGTGATGTGATAGTCAAGAGAAGTATTAACATTTACTGGGTCATTAGGGCCTAATGCTGTTAACAAGGCACGCCGGGGAATCTTTTGCCTTTAAGGAGCTGATGCTGCAACTGGAGAAAGGCGACTTCATTTCATAAAGCAATCAGAAACAAGATCTTATCTGCCAAATGCCAGGTAGGAGTGAAGGCCATAGAAAGAGCACTGGACATGGAGTCAGATGACCTAGGTTCAACCATCTCTAAGCAGCCTCAGTTTCCTGTCTGTAAAATGGGGAGAATAAGATCAACTTCCAGGAGTTAGGGTAACAACAAAGTGCTTTCCCCTGAGCGTGCAGGGGATCTGAAGGGCGGTGGCAACTGTACCTGGGTCTAGAAGCCCAGGGAGACCTGGAGCCACCTCCATCTTGAACTTCAGTCCTATATGCGATCCTGTGGAGGAAAGGGGCATCATTCCAAGCCAAGAGGCCCCAGAGAGGGCACAGTGGAGTTTGTTCAGGCTTCTGTGAGATCCTGTGGCTGTGCCCCCATCACGTCCAGCCCCTCTTGCCCTCCCACGGGCTACCTGACTGGTATGAATCAACTTGGCAGAGCTCTACAGCAAGGCCCTGCAAACGGTGTGGCCAGTGTAGCCACTGCCTTGGGGACGAGGGTGGGGAGTTAGCTGCATTCCAGCATGGGCATTATTGTGCTGCTAGATGTTCAGGGGCAAACCAGGAATCCAGTTTTGTCAATCCAACTGAGAAACCATTTCTTGAACAACTTCTTGTGCCAGGCGTTGACATTCAGAATAAGACATGCTAACATCTTCTAGGCCAGCATTTCCCAACCAGGCGCTGCAGAATCCTAGATGTTAATATGAGGCCCGTTTAAAGGATTCTATGCGCACGTTCAGGGAAACACTGTCAACTATTTTTTTGGATAGTTTGATGCATTGAACACAGCCCTACCCCAGTCCCCTGCTCCCCACTTGTCCGCTGTGGAGGAGCTAAAGGATCCCTTGAGGGGTTGGCCCACCCCTAACTACTCCAAATACAGTCTAAGTAAATTGGGGAGCTTACTATGAAAACTGGATAGAGATAGAGCTGCCCCTGTGGTGTCCACAGAAATGGCCGGCAGAGCCATTCTCAGCACTCACTCTGACCCAGGAAAAGTGAGGGTGCCCATGTCCTTGGAGATGGGGCTGAGGGCAAAGGGTCTCTTTTCTGTGTCCCCAGGAACTCCCAAAGTGCTGTGTGTCAGACCTCATGGGTGACAGGCCCCAAGTCATGGGGAAACCCTGGCTGTGTGATCTTGGGTTACATACTTCATCTCTCTGGGCTCATGTCTCCATCTGTAGACTGGGTAATTGATTGTTCTTCAACACCAATATTTATCAAAGGGTTTTTGTCTATCTAATGTTTGTTCCCCTACATCCACATGCACTCCAGTCACTACCACGTCACTTGGTTTTACCAAGTTTTGTAAGAAGAGTTTTTTGTCAGAGTAAATGTGTTCTGGAGAGGAGGTGAGGTAGCCCCCTTGAAACAGCCCAACCTGCCTGGGATCCAGGACTTTGCTCTGGGGACTCCCACCATTAACTTGCTGGGCGCCCTCAGTCAGAAGTTCTGGCTGGGCTCCCTCCTACTCCACGCTCCAAGGCACGCCGGGGACACGTGGCCCTGCCCCGCCCTTGTTGGCTCCAGTTTCTGAATAGGAGCTGCAGTGGCCTGCTTTCCCCGCCCTTCTCATCAGTCGGGAAGCCTGGATTGTAGGCTGGGGGAAGCCACAGCCTCTCCTACCTGGTACCCACTGCCCCCAGCACCTAGGCACCAGCTCTGGGCCCTGAAGCCCCTTAAAGCCACCAGCAAAGCCCTAGAAGACCATTTACTGGTACGTGAACAGGTAAGAAGGCAGTCGGTTTTCTCTCACATGGTTTTCTTTGCCTGACTTCTCCACCCCAACTTAGCTGCTTCCTTCACAGATGACAGTAAGAGGGATTTGAGCTAGACTTGAAAAAGACAGTCCCAGCCAAGAAGCTCTGAACTATGTCTCAGAGAAATGTGAATTCTCTGCTCTGGGTTTCATTTTTAAACTTTTGCTTTCAACAGCCTTGCAGGAAAAAAGCAGATCGAAATAACCACAAAGCAAGTTACTTCTCTCTGTGTTCCCTTCTGAGTTTTGTAAACTAATAAAGCCACATTCTTAAATGGTTGTCATGGGTTCCTGGGGGCTGTTCCACTGTATATTGCTTAGGTCTTCAGACCCTGGCATACTATGGGCATGAATTATCACATGCATGGATTACCTTATCAAAAATTAATTGATTTAAAATTATTTAGAGGCAAGGAAAAAATAAAATGGCATAAGTGAGCCTTTCCCATTCAGACAGTATTCTGAAATTAAAATAAAATGAAGTGTTCTGCTTTTACACTTTGCATTTATTTACAATGCAAAAAAACCAACTAACTACATGTCATTTTTAAGGTCCATGTATCTGCCACGTTAACAAATTCATCCTAGGATGTGCAGCCTTTCTCCCTAGATTATGAAGTTGGATTGCTTCCAGGTGTTTTGCAATTAATAATTCAACTTTTATGCATAGACAACTCTGTGGAAATAACTTTTTTTAGTGTTTTAGACTTTTCCCCTCTCCTTGGATTTTATTCTCCGTCCAGAATGAATACTTGGGGCAAAGGACAAGAACATTTTTGTAGTTCAGCTCATGCTACACATGGGGTCAGCTTACTCAGAAGAATTATGAGAATAATTTCCTAATTTCCAGGGCCATGATGGCATGAGGGGATGGGTGGGGAACTTGTTTTCTCTGGGGATTTTTCAGGGAAGGGGGATAGAGGCAGTCTAGCATGGTGGTTAAGACTTGACATTTGAAGGCAGGCTTTGTTTGCATAGCTGCCTGACCTTGAACTCTCACCTAATAACTTCAATTAGTTCACATGTAAAATACAGATTGTAAAACTTCTTAGGGGTCCAGGAAAGGCAGGGATAGTGTCTGTAAAGCACTTAGTGCATCTGACGCTGGAGGGCTCTTTCAAGCCTGGGGCTATCCCTGGGCCATTTTACAAGCTGGGCAGAATAGAGAAGGTCATCTCAAGAGCATCTTCTTGATCCCTTCCCCTCTTTTTATCTAGCCACCTGTTAGGGGATTTTTTGACTTAGGCTCCTATCTGTGCTAAGGCTGGAGTGCTGGGCATCGGGGGACAGCAGGTCAGCTTGGCCTCTTTCTGAAGGTCCCCCAGACTCTCAGCCGCCTACTGCCATCAGATCTGAATGCCACCCTTCCCATCTCTCAGTCATCGTCCTCAAAGCACAGGTTTAAGGGATCATTGGACAGAGTGGAGAATTCCCCAGAAGTCTGTGGACACATCTTTTGTTCCCCACCCTGGGAGGTTACTGGGAGTCCGCATATGCAGCACAGTGAATGAGCACAGGCTGGTCAGCTGGGTTCCAATCCTGGCTGCGCTAATTCCCAGCAGTAGGCAGTCATTGGGCCTCTCTGAGTGTCAGTTTCTTCTTCTGTAAAATGGAAATGTTAATACCTGTGCCATATAATTACATAACATAGGTAAAGCAGCTGGCACGTAGGGGCCCATTCCTGTGGAAGGTCAAGGCTATGTTCCAGAGCCCTTGGGAAGGTACCAAAATTAGCCATAAAAGACAGGCGGAAAACGTGTTCATTTTCGTGATCAACAAATATTAGGCTGGCTGGCCATGGTGCTAGAAACTAGGTAGAGAGATACATAAGACAGGCTCCCTGCTCCTGATACGGGCACACGGGGAGCAGAGGAGACTGACTGAGGCTGCCTGGGCAGTCTGGGGACAGCTTCCTGCTTAAGGAGGAAGAACAATCTATTAGGCAGAGATGGGAAGGAAGCAGGAATAGCCATTATGAAAGCGGAGTCAGTTTGGGGAAGGGTAGGAAGTTCAGGAGGGCTGCAGAGCTGGATGAAGAGAAAGGGAGAGTGGGAGATGAGATGAGAGGAATTGGTGGGGACCAAATTCTGAGGAACCTTGAAGTTCAAGTGAGAATTTTGACTTCATCTCAAAGATGTGGGGACTTAAGTGGGTTTTGGGATGCCTGTTCTGGCAGCTTTTGGGGGGTAGGGGATGGTGTTGGACGCCTGGAATTACCCCAGCCTTTCACTCCATATCAGAAGCTCTGATGGTACCCAAAATAAATAAATGCAGAGAGTGGGATTCACAGGAAAGGTGTGGGGGAGCCTGGCCTGGGAGTTGGGGCCTTGGGTTCTGGGGTTCTGGTCCCAGCTGCTCCACCACCAGAATAAGTGGGTCTCCTCTCCTGCCTCAGGGTAGGGTTTCAGGGTGGGTAGGCTTCTTACAGCTCTTTCCTTCTGGGGGTCTGCAAAATGTCTCTGGAGGCTGCAGGGCCCGCCTCCTGCCCCCAGGCAATACTGTCTGCTGGCCAGCCATGACCCATCCTTGGGAAGAAGAGGCATCTTCTCTGAAATGGGCAGTCTGGCCCTTTGACCCCGAGAGACTCCATGGAGGTCTGAGAACCATGGCCTTCAGGCCTGTGACAATCCCGGGGGTGTTCTGGGCTCCAGCTGTCCTGCACACTTGTGCATGAGGGCCATGTCTCACAATTGGGGGGTGGTGTCCCCTGGGAACTTAGCCACGCAGTTGGCCTGGGAACCTACCTCCCAAGCTTCCCAGGGGCTTCTGGGAGAGTTTGTGCATCCCAGACAGGAAAGGCCCGATAGCCGCGCCTGGAGAACCAGCCAGGCCTTCCCTCTTGGGGCCATCTCAGACAACGGAGAAGTGGATGAGTGGGGATGTGGCTACAGTTAGCAAGGTTGAGGTCAAGGTAATGAATCTGAAAGGCCAACAAGAAGTGAACTTGCCTGGCAGCTATTCAGAAAGGTTAGGATCTGCTTTAAAGCTTTCCGAGTGCCAGTTGCCTGTCATAACAGGAGAAAGTCCACATTTTGGCCCAGGACTCTCCCATCAAGTGCAAGCCCCCACTTCTGGCTTTATCACTCACATGTCTCCTCAATCCTCCCTTCCCTCCAGCCTATACCTGCCCTTCTGTCTTTCCCAAGAGCCAGAACTTCCCTGCTTCCTTGTCTTCCTGCTTTCTCAGATCATTAAAATCTCTTCGTAAGCATTTTTTTTAAACCATCTTAATCATTTTTAAGTGTAGTCATCATTTTTATGATTTAACGTAGTAAATAATTTTTAAGTGAACTAGCTTTAAGTATAGTTCAGTGGTATTAAGTAGACTTACATTGGTATGAAAGAGGTCTCCAGAACTTTTTCATCTTGCAAAACTGAAACTCTATACCCATTAAACAATAACTCCTCCTTTCTCCTTCCCCCCAGCACCTGGCAACCACCACTCTACTTTCTGTTTCCATAAATTGGACTACTCTCGGTATCTCATGTAAGGGAAATCATACAGTATTTGTATTTTTGTGACTCTCTTATTTCACTTAGCATAATGTCCTCAAGGTTCATCCGTGTTGTAGCATGCATCAGAATTTCCTTCCTTTTTAAGGTTGAATAATATTCCATTGTATATATATGTACCACATTTTGTTTATCCATTAATCTGTTGATGGACACTTGGGTTGTTTCCATGTTCAGCTGTTGTGAATAATGCTGTTATGAACATGGGTGTACAAATATCTCTTTAAGATCCTGCTTTCAGTTCTTTTGGGTGTATTCCCAGAAGTGGAATTACATATAGTAATCGTTTTTAATTTTTTGAGGAACCTCCATACTGTCTCTCATAGCGGCTTCAGCATTTTACAATCCTACCAACAGTACACAAGTGTTTCAATTTCTCCACATCCTCACCAACACTTGTTTTCTGTGTTTTTGATAGCAGCTATCTTAATGGGTATGAGGAGATATCTCATCGTGGTTTTGATTTGTATTCCTCTGGTTATTAGTGATATTGAGCATCTTTTCATGTATCTGTTGGCCATTTGTATGTCATCTTTGGAGAAATGTTTATTCAAGTCCTTTGCCCATTTTTTAATTGGGTTATTTGTTTTTTTGTTGTTGAGTTGTAGGGATTCTTTATATATTCTGGATATTAAACGCCTTATATTTGCAAATACTTTCTTCCATTCCACAGGTTGCCTTTTCACTCTGTTGATGTGTCATTTGATGCACAAAAGTTTTCAATTTTGATGTAGTCTCGTTTGTGTATTTTTGCTTTTGTTGCCTGTGCTTTTGCTGTCATAACTAAGAAATCATTGCCAAGTCCAATGTCACGAAGCCTTCCACCTATGTTTTCTTCTAGGAGTTTTATAGTTTTGGGTCTTACGTCTTTGCAAGCATTTTAATAGCTTTACTGTTTGTATGACATGTACTTATTATAAAAAAAATACCAACAATTCAGAAAAGCACAAGCAGAAAAGAAAATCCCAATCCCATCCCCCAGACATATCCACGCCCTAATAATATTTTACTGGGCAACTCTTCAGACAATGCCTTACTTCATTGCTTCTCAAACTGTAACTTGCACTTGAATCACCTGGGGATTTTGTTAAATTCTGATTACAAAGACCTGGGGTGGGCACAAGGCTATATTTCTGACAAGCTCTTAGGTGATGCTGCTGCTACTGATGAGGAAACCATACTTGGAGCAGCGCGGGTCTGTACGTATACACACACACAGCTCTATGTCCTATGGGATCATCTATACAGGACTTTCTTGTAACCTGTTGTTTTCCCCCACTCAACTATATGTCATGGAAATGCCAATAAGTGCAGATCTCCATCATCCTTTAGTGTGGCCACATACTATCTCATTGCATGGTAGGATGGTGATTCAACTAGTTCCTATAGATGAAATTCAGGGTGCTATTGAGTTATCACTTTTATAAATAATGCAGTGGCAAACGTCTTTGTCACCA